GAGCCAGAGCCGCCGGTAGCGGGGCCGCGGCTGCTCGTGCCCGCTCGCCGCGGGAACGTTCCCGGTGCGAATCGCGCTCCCGGGTTACACAACCGGGCGCCTTCCCGCCCTTATTCACAGGGCCCTCGTTAACACCAAAAACCCCCTTGTCACCGCAGGCTCTGGAGGTTAGGAGCAGGAAACCCTGGCCTGGCCCCCGGAGCCGCCGCCGAGGGTCCCCGTGAGCTGACGGGCGTTTCTGGAGGCGATGCGGCGGCCGGCGCCGCCAGGCCCGGCCTGAGCCCTGGGAGCAGCCACCGCTTTGCATCGGATCCCAGCGCAGGCATTGCGGCTGCTTCCCGACGGGAGCCTCCTCACCCACTGACATGGCTCCAGGATGATTCTCCTTCTTATTCTTTATAAATACAGCTTTTATTTCATTGCATTAGGGAGTCAAGTTCACGAGCTGGGCACAATGCAGGTAGCCAACAGCCATCATTACCCTAAAGCCTTCTCAATATAAAGCCCATGCTGTCTTAAGGATTGTCCTTCTGGATATGATGAAATAATTCTTGTTCTTCCTTGGTATTTTAGTATGAAACTCGCCTTCATACCTGATGATATCCTCTGTTACTGGAGCTGCTGGCCAAGCTATGGCCTTAGCTCCTGGTTCTCGTTTTAGATCAGTGCTTTCCATCACCTGAGCGCATCCGCTCCTCCCCTGAGCTCCCCCGGCTCGTCAGCGTCTTCCTGTGCTTTAATTGTGGCTGCTGAGCCATCCCTAGGAACACCCACGTCCCCTGCTCCGAGGACTGACTCACTGCGCTCGCTCCGTGTGCGAGGATGGCGCCCAGGGGAAGGATATTTCAGGCTGTCGTGTGGAAAGCTTCCTGTCCTGGGCGTTAATTGTTGCTCTTGATTGTGGAAGTTGGGAGAGGAGGCGGCCGTGCAGGCTGTGGCGGGGCCGAAGGAGCCTCCTTCCCTCTGACCCACCTTCAGCGGCGCCGAAGGAGCCTCCTCGCTCGCTGCGAGGGAACGTGTCCGATGGCAGAGCGTCCGCGGGCCTCGAGGCTCCTCGGGGGCGACGCGTTTGTGCCTGCTCACCGCTCCCGTGCTTTGGGCCGCTGTGATTCCCTAGCTCCTCCCGTCGGAGCAGGGCCGGGGGGTTCTGCAGGGGTGCTGGAGCAGTGCTGTGGAGCAGGAGGGTGAAGCGCAAGGACGGGTGCACGTGGTGCTTCTGCCGGACTCGCCAAGGGGGGTTTTGTACCTGTCAACAAGATGTCCGTGTCTCACGTGAACCTTGTGGGTCCGGGCGTGCTGTATCAGTGGCACATGGCTTTTCTTGCTGCCTTGTCTCATGTCATTGAGCAGAGGCTTGGGGCTGTGGAGTAACATCCTTCTCCTGTCCTAATATTGCAGCAAGATCCTCATTTTCAGCCCGTGATGATCCAGCAACTTCCTCATCTCCTTTCAGGCAGCCGGGAGGAGAGGGGTGACCTTTTGTGCTTCTCTCCAGCCTGCAAGCTCCTCTCCCACATGTGTTCGAAACGGAGGAGAAGGTTGGGAAATAATGTCAGTTGTGCAAACACCGCTGGAGCCTCTGGCTTTGGTGCTGCCTGTTGCACTGCACCCAGAGAGAGCCTCCTTGACGGTGTCTGTCATTCATGGCAGGCTTTGTCCGGCTCTTTAATAGATGCAGAGGAATGAAGCTCATTCCAGTTGTTTGTTTCTTCCACCTTTTGTCATGGATCAGCATCCTGTTTCTCCTTCCCGGGGTGCGGATGGTCGGAGATGCGCAATTCCTGTGCCAAGCCTGACGTGGGAAAACCTATTGCTGAGTCAGCTTTTGTCTCTCTCCAATAGAGAAGTAAAACCAGGAGCAACATGAGCCTTTATTGCCGCTCAGTGAGTGTTTTGTGGCTCTCTGCATTCCAGAGCCTTTGCTCTCTGAAGGAAATAAGCACCGTTGTTGCACATGTAGGGAGGCCCGTTGGCTCGGCGGCGGCTGGGGAGCTTAGGTCGAGCAGCAGGAGCTGGGGGCTGTTTGAGGGCAGCAGTGTCGAGGTGCTGAAGCGCAGGTGCTGGCAGCGTGCAGCAATGCAGAGCCTTTGCTTTCCAGCTTGCTCCTTGGGGTCTGCTCATGGCTTTGGTTCCCCTTGGGAAATGGGACTTTGAGACTCGTGGACAAGCGTCGTCCGCATGACACCAGATTTTGTAGCTGGTACCAAACAGGCCTGTGTTGGTAGTTTCAGTGGGGAAGCTAAGGATGTAATATTTTAGAGCATGGAAATCGCCGTCCTGCAATGGTCCTTTCATTTGGTTGAGTACCCTTAGTTACTTGTGTAAAGGGGATGTATTTAATCAATTTATTGTGTGTTTATAAAATACATCCCATTGATCCAGCCAAGTGACTGCCTCTTCTCTGGGCACAGAGGTGCTTGGCGCACTGAGCTGCCCGCGGTGCCACTTGGCTTGTGTGACAAGACCGTGCATTGCTACAAGTCCATTTTTTCGTGATGCTTCCAGGGGGTTTAGCAGCTGCAAATGGGGTCATAAGGACCAAGTACCACCTGTGCTTTAAGGGATGCTTGGCTCTGCAGCAGCCGCTTTGAAAACTCACCCTCCATTGAATCTTGAGTTCAGAAAGTAGCTTGATAGCTTAGCAAGTACAGCAAGATGTGATCCTGCGGTTAGTCCTTCTTGGATGCTCTTTTGCTTACCCAGGGACCCATAAAAATAAGCAGTGTGGTGCAGAGATCCACCTGTGGCGAGTGTTTTGCAGATGCAATGTGTGGAACAAATTGCAAGACTGTTTTTCAGCTCTTCTCCTGTGAGCGAGGGAAGCTGAGCAGACCTGGTAGGGCTGCTGCAGTAGGAGGACAGAGATTCTCTTGAAAGGAGGTTTCAGAGTAGTCATTTGGCAGCTGTTGTTTTTATCTGCCCATGAAAAGGATACGTTCTAATGATGATCAAAAATGCAGTTTGTAATGTAGCATGCATTGATTTTATTTTGCTTCCCTGGATGACTGAAGTGCAGGCGTGTTTGCCCTTTCCTTCGTGTGCTTAGCCCCCTGCTCTGTGCTATCTGTCTATATAATCTTCTCTGTATTGATCTCTGCTGTATTTAAATTCGGGGAAATGCTTCTTAAACCCCACCCATAGATATATAGCTGCAGTGTGTTGTTGCTTTCCTTACAGTAAAAAAACAAATAAATCTATATCATCTCAGCTGGAAAATTAGGTTAAAGCATGAATCTTGTCTACCGTAAACTCGGTGCTCCATCAGCATTAGGTAAAGTATGTGGAGAAGATACACTTGGAATAAAAATAGATTTTGATAGTTTCAGTATTCTGTAGTCAGTGCCATAAACAAGTGCCTCGGGGAGGAGGATCCTTCAAGAGCCTGAAATAGCCCAGTCAGTAAAACATCAGCCTCTCGATTGGAGCACCCAGCATTTGCCTTCCTGATCAGGTACAGCCTGTGGTGCTGATTATTTGCAAGAACAACAGAATGCATAATAATAAATGTTGGTGCTGATTTCCAAGGAGAAATGCTAATGCATCTAACAAATCAGCTGGCACTCTGAAAACAAGTGTCAGTGCTAAGGGACTTATATTAGACACCACATATTCCAGTTGCTACTTCCACAAAGCTCTCGGGGAAAGCAAAAAGCATCTCCTATGTGGAAAGCACAAGGGTTTAACCTTTGAGTAGTTTAATGTTAGAGACAAAAAGGAAAGGGAGAGCATTTCATGCAGAGGCTGTGAGCTGCGGTATTTCCTCTTCTGTTCTTCTTTAGAGTATGAAAATATTGTGGGTTTGAGTACTTGAGATTTGGTGTCTGCTTTTTGGAAAGCAGTGATTCTTCCTGGGTCTTTAGGTGTGACTTGGGCACACCCTTCTCTCCGAACACCCGAGGTAGACAGACATAACATATGTAAACTCATTTCCCCTTCTTTTTTATAGCTGGCAGTGGATGCCAAATGCTTTTCTCTAGGAAATGTGTGACCTTTTGTTTCTTTTGCTCTCTTAGTAATATGTTCTCTTTTCCTTGCCAAAGATAAAGCCACCAACCCCTGTAACAGACAAGAAGACTGGGAATACATCATTGGATTCTGTGACCAGATCAACAAAGAACTCGAGGGGTGGGTGTTCCAAGCACTTGGACTTAGAGACGTTATAAATTAACGTTCATGGTATAAAATGTGTCCTATGGTTACTGAAGTTTTATATTTTCTTTTTGTATACTGATATCACAGAGAAAATTTGGTTATGAAAGGAACAAGATGCTGCAAAGTTTGGTTTCTTTTCTATGATAAAAGGCAGCATAGTTTAATCCAAAATGGGTATCTGGAAAATACGGATTCGGAATCTGCCTGTTACACCAGCTTCGGTAGCTGTCTTAAGTAGCCAAGCTGATCCTGGTTTTTGGTCTATAAAATGTGTTTGTCTCTCCTGCTGCTTGGTGGGACTTCACATCTTCAAAGCTTTTACAAGTTTTTTGCAAGGGAAACCTTACAAAAGGGTCTACAAGGGGAACCTCTGGGGTTCTAGGCTTTCTGTGAGGGCAGGAGGGAATGTCCTCTCCTGGAAAAAGGAAACTGAGGCACAGAGAGACGAGGTGATGCCCTGGGCCCCTCATCCTGCAAGGCTCTCCCAAGGAGGGGTCAGGATTTGCTGGCTCACGCTGCCAGCCTGTGCTTCCGTTTATGTGTGAAGCACCCCAGTTTCCTGAAACACCCTGAATATTTCTTGTTAGCTTTTGTGCACTAATGTAACCCCGAAAAGTACTAAAAGGACATTTTCTTTTAACTGTATGAAACACGTCTCGTTGCCTGCTTTATTTCTAATGGTCATCTGCTTTGTTTCAGGCCACAGATAGCTGTGAGACTCCTGGCTCATAAAATCCAGTCGCCGCAGGAATGGGAGGCAGTCCAAGCCCTGACAGTAGGTAGCCCTTGGCCTCTCTCTTAAATCCCATTTGACATCGTGTGTGTCTGGTTCACTGGGATGAGCTGGAGCCACTTCTGGGGCCAAACTCCATGGTTCTTCTCTGCTGGAAGGGAGTGGACAGTGAAAGGCAGGGCAGTTTACATAACTGAAGCGTCCAGATAGCTCATTAGCCACAGAGGAGCCAGAAATAACTGTTTTAGGTTATCTGCTTTTGTGTCTTGTCTTCAGGCAAGATTTATGTCCATTGTTGTCAGCCCTAATAGGGAGATAACTCTGATCTTTCTATCTGTTGCCGAGAGTTGGGGGCCAACTTATGTCACCCCTAAAGAAGAGGGAGGCACACCAGGCATCTCAGAGCAGGAACACATGAGCAGAGAACAGCTCTGCTCTTAATGTAGGTTTGGGACATTATTTCCCCACCCATTTCTCTTGCTTGAATGCAGGTGCTGGAAGCTTGTATGAAAAACTGCGGGAGAAGATTTCATAATGAAGTTGGGAAATTTCGCTTTTTAAACGAGTTAATAAAAGTTGTGTCTCCAAAGGTTAGTGCCTGCCTTGTTGCCTTACTACAATATTTACTCTCTGGCTTCCCTAAGCTACCAGCAGCATGCAAAATTTTGCAGTGCTCTGTCTAGCTCTTTGCATACATTAACCAATATTCAAAAGCATTTATTAGTTAACAGTTGGAGCACAGAACCCTTACTTTTCTCCATAAACTGTCCTTGTTTACTGTGAATAGTCTTTTTATTATCCTAATGCTTCATTTAACTCCAGAACTTTTAAACCACAGGATATTTTTTAAGGAAAAATATCCCACCTCCCTCCCTGGCAGCATCAATAGAAGAGAAGTGTGGTGCAAAGGTTGAAGTATGAGATTTAGCAATGCACTGCAGAGCTGTAATCCTCACCGTGCTGCTGCCTTTCTGTGTAAAGGGAGTCTGGGCAAATGCCTGGGTAAATTCCTCAATATCCAGGATCAGGCTAACTCAAAAATTGATAGAAGTGTCCTAGGACAGGATTAATACTATCAAGTATTTAAGATTTTTTCCCTCTAAACACTGTTAGAAGAATATTTTTATTGCTGTAACTTATAAATAGCAAAAAAATAAAATTAACAATATATCTTTTTTTTTTTGAGTGATGATTTTAAAGACTCTGCTCCCTGTTACTTCAAATGCATTAGAGGAGCTTTCTTTTCCCCCTCTTAGTAAGAGGCATCTTAGATCACCTGCAAATATACAGCTTTTAAAGTACAATGATGAATCCCCCTTCTCTGGGTTTGGGCTTTATTATTAAAAAGAAGTGAATAAAGTGGAAAACTGATCTCTGTCTCTTTTACCGCTCTCAGTATCTGGGAGACCGGGTCTCTGAGAAGGTGAAAACCAAAGTCATTGAATTGCTCTATAGCTGGACAGTGGCTCTGCCAGAAGAATCCAAAATCAAAGACGCCTACTACATGCTGAAGCGACAAGGTAGGGAGGAAGCTGCTCCTTCCCACATTCCCTGCAGCCCCTGCTTGTGAGCAGGAGGGTCACCAAATGTGCAGCTCCTAATTCTGTGGGGAGTCGAGGCAAGCTCTGAGAGAGGGCAGAACAAGTCCCAAACTCCCTGAAACTTTGGGAAAACTGCTAGTTGCATTTAAATGTCCTGGGCTGTTTATTATTATGATGATTATTAGATATTATTATTAGCTAAACACCTTGTAAATGCTTTTGGTTTGGCCTTTTTTTTTGCATGGCCTTTTTTAGTTTGTCTGAAGCTAACTAATAAAGGATTTATTCAAAATTGAAAGCCAAATAAAAGCCTCCACATAGGTTTTTGTATTCTTTTAACCAAATCATCTTACCGTTGTAGCTTCAGTTAAATGAATACAAATTTCTTGTGTAAGGAAGGCGGGGAAAAAAAACTCTGGAGAGAAGCCTGTGGCTTCAACACACACACACGCATACAAATCTCTTTTAGGAAAGCCCAATTTTTAGGGTAGGGCACAAATTTAAGGATTTGTCAGTGGAACTTGGGCATGAAACTTGGCTCTCTCCCCTATTGATGGTTAGGAGTCTGCACATCACCCCATCTTGCATGACTGTCTGCTTTCCTGGTCAGCTCTTCTCTACAAACAAATCCCCTGCCCTTGACTGTGCACAAAGCTGGATTGTCTGGGGCTTCACAGGGTGGTTCAACAGCCTGTGTGAAAGGGGAAAAGACAAATAGTGGAGAGCTACTGAATATCCTGAGCTATTAGAGGAGCAGTATGAACATGGCAGTGGAGTTGCTGAGGTTTTAGCCTTTTTCTAAAGAAAACTTTCATTCTCCAGCCAGCATGTTCAGTGATTTTGATGCTGTATTGTTCTTTGGAAGGGCACGCTAGGATCGGTGGACAGATTGGCTCCTTGTTCACTTTGCTGTCAGCATGTGAATAGTGGGGTGCACTGCCTGGTGTGACTGCGTGTGCAACCCATGTGGGTTCCCTCTCTGCTTTCAGGGATCGTTATGTTTGATCCTGTGATTCCTGCAGACAGAACCCTGATTCCTTCTCCACCACCTCGTCCCAAAAACCCTGTGTTTGATGATGAGGAGAAATCCAAGGTATAGTGAAAACTTGTACCATAATCACTGGAGTGATTACCTAATGCACTTTTAGAATAAAGGAGAAAAATATACTAGTTTAGCTTTTATTTTTGGGGGGAGTGTTCGTGTTTTCACAGAACTCCCTGGTTTGTGTATGACCACTTTGTCCATCCACCTAACCAGAAATCCCAGCTAAGACCTTGTCTGTGTTGCAGTTTTGTTCAGCTGTAGTGCTAGAAGGCAAAGAATGTGCTTCATAGTTCCAGAACTGATGTATAGGAGGAATTCTGGTCTGGTGTCGAAAGTGTCAGAGATTTCAAAGTATTTGTCCTGTACAGAAGTAAAAATGTAGCAACTCACATAAAATAGTAAAGCCATAAATGACTCCTGCTGAAGTCACTATGACAACAGTGTAATCTTTGTTGTAGTGGGACGTATCCCTTTTCCCTTTATTGTTCTCTAAATTCTTCTTGCTGCTTCCCTGTGCTGAAAGGGCTGTCTCTGTTTCCTGAATACTCTCTTGTCTTGCAGCTTCTAGCCAAGCTGTTGAAAAGCAAAAACCCAGATGATTTACAAGAGGCCAACAAGCTTATAAAATCCATGGTAAAAGAGGTAAGAAACTTGTAGGGCTGATGGTCCCAGCAGCCTGCTTTGCAGCTTTAAACAATTTGACCCCAAACTGGTGGAAAGCTTTAAGATCGTGTGGATGGCAGAACTGGGATTTTTTTCTGGCTCCAGGAGCCAGAATTCACCATTGCATTGGTGAATTCCGTAGTTAAGCCTCAGGGTCTTAATGACACTGTCTGGCAGTGACATCCAGTCTTGTATTTTGTTTAGTTCTCTAAATTTCTAAGTCAACTGACTCATCTAGTCCAGCTGGTGAGTGTGGTAAGAGAGTCTCATCTGATAACCTCGTAGGGCTCTGTGGGAGATGAATGAGGTGGTAATTGCGACTAGATCACAAGCTAGGGATTAGATTATAAAGCTGAAAAACTAAAATGTGACTAGACCACAAACTGGGGATCTTGTACCACAAAAATGTCTACAGGGTGTTGCTATTGGAGGATGAGGTAAGATGAGAAGGACTGAATGGGCTGTTGAAGTTAATACACACTTATCACTCCGGATGGTGTTTCATGTCGGGGCGTTGGTGGGAGCAGCACAGAGCTCGCCCTGGTTACCCAGGGCTGAGCCTCACGGCTCAGCAGCAGCCACGGACACTCCTTCCTCTGCGTGGAGCTGGGATGCATCCACCCATGGCAGGCACTGCCATGAATCCCTGGAATCCCTGGAGTCCAGGAAATGACTCACCCCGAGCCTGGCTAAAGGGAGTAGAGGACTGGAGATGATGTCTTGGTTACTGAAGCCATTTTTCTATTCAGGCTTCTTCATTCGGGGCAAAATCTCCTACGTCTTTGGCAGGAATCTCCGCTCAGAGATGGTTGGATGTTTTCTACCAGAGATTGTTGGTTATTTGTAGTACATGTTTTGTTTCAAGTGTATCTTTTTTTTTTTTTTTTAAATAAAATCTCATCAAGGACAATCCCTCTTCTTCCTAAATAATAATAATAATAAAACACATTCTGATAGCTCAGAAAGGGACCTTTGGATCTTTTGAGAACATACTGTTTTGAATGTTTCTTTGTTTTGTTTGTGTAATTATTCATAAAAATCTATTTAATGAGACATGTTAGAATTGTGGGATTTCATAAAATTTTAGAATGGTAGTGAAGAGATAAATAAACAATGCTTTACGTGAATGGAAAAAATATTTATTCTTATTCCTAGTTCTACCTTAAATACACATTATGTGACATGAGTTACAGATCACAGCTGCTGCTGTGATGCTCTGGCCTCTATTGGAAAATTCACTCTTTTTGTGTCTCTCTTTTACACTCTGAAGGACGAGGCTCGGATACAAAAAGTGACAAAACGCATGCACACACTGGAGGAAGTGAATAACAACGTGAAGCTCCTGAATGAGATGCTGGTTCATTACAGCAAAGAGGATTCCTCAGAGGCTGACAGGGAGCTCATGAAGGTGGGTCGGAGCTTCCCAGAAATCCTGCAGTCAGTCTTTTCTTCCTCCAGCTTGTAATGCTGTTGAAAGATCAATAAAAACGGTGCAGGAAAACGGAGAGCAGTGACAAGAAGCAAGAGCGGTCATTGGAAACAGCAGGAAAGAAAATAATCATGTTTTTAACACCTTTCACCAAAGACTCAGTGCCTTTCAGGGGTGGTAATAGCTCTGTTTTGGACATGGGGGAAGTGAGATACAGCAGTTTGCCAAACATGCAGTATAGCAGAATGGAGAAGCTGCAATATGTTGTTCCTGCTCCTACTAGGACACACTGATTGCAGCTAAGAATTGTCCCTCGCAGCATTCTGAATGAGTACCCTGAAGGCTGAACTAGGTAGATAAAATGTCCTTCCCTCAGCAAGAGTTTTAGCTAGTGATCTAAGTTTGGGAGATGGTCAAAAAGATAAAAATCAAAACACACGTGAGGGATGGTTGGATAAACCCAGGACCTTGAGGAGTGTCTAATTTAATACATTAAAACTATGCATGTATTTAACAGTTAACATACCGAAAATATGTTCTTAAACTGGTTTGTTGCCTGTATTATAGGGATAACAGCATATTCTTCCTGCCACTTTTCCTTTGGGTGATTGCAGAACGTGCAATCAATTCTGCCCTTCCTTGAGCTTCCAGGAGCTGCAGAAGGAACACAGCATTTTTGGACTACAGGGAAACCTGGACAAAAATGCTGATATGAAGGAAGACTGAGATATTTTGTATCAAAAGTGCTTCACAGACTTGTTAATAGGACAGGGATGAGAGCTCTTGATTGTACATTCACACTAGGACCTTCTTCCCAGGGGAGCTGCTCCATGTGCACAGGTTTTGCTCACAGTAACCCGTCTGATGTGACCCCTTGTCCTCTTCTGTCTTCCCAGGAGCTCTGTGAAAGGTGTGAAACCAAAAGACGGACGTTATTCAAACTGGCCAGTGAGACAGAGGATAATGACAGCAGTTTGGGTAAAAAAAAAAAATCACACATCTCCTTTTTTTGATCACATGTCTCCTTTTTTTTTGACTGCTGTTGTAACCTCTTGCTGTTCTAGGTGGTAGTAAGGGAACAGCTGCTATAAAGGTGCCTCTTCCTGTGTAGATTGACTTTACTTTGAACAAGCAGATAAAGGACAAGATCTGTGCCTCTTTATGCTTATCAGTTAAATTCAAGCAAGGTAGATAGAGTTGATGTCTGGGAAGCTATGGGAGGTAATGAGGGAGCCACATGCTGGTTTGGAAGGGAAAGGATTATTATTATTTTTGTTGTTGTTATTCAGCTGATAACTGAGTACTCGGGGTGTGAGTTACTGAAGTCTTTGAGGTCGTTTTTGTCTCTCTTGCATGTAGGGGATATTCTGCAGGCCAGTGATAATTTATCCCGTGTGATAAATTCCTATAAAAAAGTAATAGAGGGGCAAGTAGTCAATGGTGAAGTGGATCTCCCTGCGATGTCTGTGGCAGAAGGTGAGTTCCTGAGAAACTAATTGCTTTGTTTTGAGTCAGGATTTTTTAAATCGTTTGGGCAAGGTTTCCTATTAATTGCAGTTAATTACCTATCTGGCCAACAGCTGGTGAATCAAAGGGGCACAAGACAGCTCCCAAGCTGTATGAATTGATGGATAAATCATTCTGTACACAAGCAACAGTGCTGCAGCTTCTGATTTTCCTTTGCTGGTTGATTGCTGTTGAAACTTTAGATAAGATCAGGAACAAGGCTGTGTCCGAGTGATTTGTGTGGCTTGAAACTCATACATTTTCCTTTTCACCCTTGTTCTGCCTCTTAATGGTGACATATAGAAAAGAGGACAACTTCAGGGCAAGAGTAGGGAGTGGGAGCCAGGCCAGGGGTCCTGTCCCTGACTTTGACAGCAATTCCATCTTTGAAGATAGGCCAGTCACTCACTCTATATTTCACCAGTTTCACCAGCGAAAGCTCTGGATGTGCTTTGTGTGCCTGAACACCACTTGGGAGTCAGTTCAATATTCCTGGATAAAAGCATACATAATGCTGACAGCTTCTTGTTGGAGCAAGGCTGTTACAAATGCAAAGGGAATTCTAGAGTAGACAAAAAAATACATATTTTTGTTGACTCTGTAGCTCTCTGGTAGCCTCTTGTTTATATTTATTAAATGAGGACCATGTTACCTAAACCATCTGCCTGATGATTTCTCTGTATGTTGTGCTTGCTTGGAGCCTCCTTCCCTAAGAGTGCTCTTGTCCTGTCCGCTGCAGGGAGCGACTCCACCAGTGATGCCAACACCCTCATAGACCTGGCCGGGCTGGACGTGGCCAGCACGCGGCCGCCCCCGCTGCCGCCCGCCCCGCTGCCGCCCGCCCCGCCGGCCGAAATCCCCATCCTGCCGCCGCCTCCGCACGCGGTCGCTCCCTCCCGGGGCAGCTCCTCGAGCCAAGTGGAGGCTGCCCCCACGCAGCAGAGCAGCACGGCCGCTTCCCTCTCCTTGCTGGATGAGGAGCTCCTGTGCTTAGGTAAGAAACTGAGGGGCCCAGAGCAGGGCTACCCCATCCCTGCCTAACAAAGTCCACTTCTGGGCCTAACAAAGTCCGCTTCTTGCCTCCAGCATGAGTGTTAGGGCTGACTGCACACATAGGGCAGTCAAATACCCAATGTCAAATACCTCCCATTTCTACCACACCACTTTCTCCTGCTCTTAGCTCATCCAGCGGGTTTGGTTAACCCATGGGAGCTGTCTTCACACTGCCCTGGTTTTTGGTGGAGCCTAAGTTTCTGGTTTTGTAACAGGTCCAGTGCATGCTGAGGAGGGTTGAGGGAGCCTGGTGTTTCAGAAGGGCAGTTGGGAACAGTGATATGTGCCGCTGACAAATCATGGACACTGGGATATCTTTCCTCTAAATCCGAGTCCTTAGGTCTGCTATTTCTAGAGAAGTCGAGGAGATTTCTTGGACTCTTCTCTGCACCTCTCTGATTATAAAACTACTGTGATCCAGTATAAGAAAACTGCAAATAAATGGAGCTGAATGTAATCACAGTCTGATCTCTGTGGTGCTTGGACATGCAACTCACCCCTGCCGTAGCTTAGTACGGACTTCATAGCTGACTTAGCAGCTGTGCTGCAGAGCAGGGAGATTTGGAGAGTTGCTTAAGAGCCTGCAGAGCTCTTAACCTGTGAACCCCTGGCGTGAATAGCAGGGGAAGCTGCAGATAAGGAGGGTTGAGAGAGCCACAAGCAGGGTTTGGCTGTTGGCTCCTAGTGCTGCCAGTCTCACCATAGATTTGCAATACGTTTCAGTCTTTCAGCACGTCCTTGGGTTCCGCAGAGTTGAATCAAGTAGTTTGGCACCGGAGCAGCTGCCAGGGAATTGCATCTAGCTCGTGTCCCCCTCGGGTACTTACTCTTATCTTTGCTTTCAGGCCTGAATGATCCAGCCCCCGCAGCGGTGAAGGAGCCATCAGAAAACAACCAGTGGAGCATGTTTGAGGTACAAAGGAAGGAATTTTTCTCAGGAGGGGTGGTCAGTGTGGGAGGTCTCGGGACACATCATCATCTCAGAGAAACCTGTGATCACATGTACATGCTGAGGCACAGCTGCTCCTGAGGGGAAGTCAAGCCTGTCCCCGGGATCAGAGAGCTGTGTCTGAACAGAGCGCATATCCCTATTGAGAGGAGCTTTCTCAGTTTCCAGACTGTCCCCTGTGATGTTAGCACTTCCTTTGCTTAAATTACTGATCAGATGTAGGCCTGACATAGGCCACAGACCTTGCTGCTTGCCACCCACGAGCTGTTCTCGCAGTAAATCTATGGCCCTTGGTAACAGTGCTGCCCCTGCCGCAGGGGCTGGCAGTGTTCAGAGCATCTTCTTGCTTTCTCCTGCAGAATGACCAGCTGGACCTGGATTTCTTTGGTTCAAAGATGGGGCCTGTTGCTTGCAACCCTGCAGGGAACCCTCTTCTCCCGCCCACGTCACAGACTGCGTGTGGGCCGTCGGCGACGCTGCCCTCCACTTTCCCAGCCTCGCAGCCTGCTGCCTGTGGCACTGCACCAAACTCAGCCCCGTTTGTGTTCTCTGCTGCACCGGCTGCCCCAGTGGGGCCTCTTCAGACTCTGCCAACTGCCCCTGGGTACTTCAGCTCAGCCGTGGGAAACAGTATGTCCAATAAGATGGATGCACTGGGACAGCTCCTTGAGGAAGCCAAAGGGTAATGAACAGTCCTGGACTTTGTTTTGCTCCTGTAATTGTGAGCAAGGCTGACTACAGAGTAATCCTATTCAGAGACAGACACATCCACCACTCTGATTTGGTAGAAATGTGGGATTGAGACCTTTCTTCTCTGGAGGTCCCAGTATACAAACTTAATACAAGAGCCCCACACCCAGCAGGGAAAGGCAGACACTGCTAGGTGGGACACAGCAGCTGGTTGTTCCTGCAAGGCAACATTGTTCCTTCATGTAAGTTTGCTTAGCAGTCTATGGTAGAGAGGCCTTTGCTCATCTGAGCCTTGCCTGTTTTGGCCAAAATGGGCTCTATTTCTTCTTGACTTGGAGAGAATGATTCCTGTATCTCCAGCACCACAACTTCCACATAGCTCTGCTTTTTCAGTGAGGCCTTACTGAGTCCCTGTAGCCTGGTTGCAGATCACTGCTTTTTTTCTGCTCTTATTTCAGGGTTTATGGTGAGATGCCTGCTTCACATTGAGCTCAATTTTCTGTGCTTTTTCTGTCTCCCTTCCAGGACCGCCACCCAAGGCATGGCCACAGCCTCAGTGTTTCCCGGGGTTACTTTGCCAGCCACTTCCAGCTCTGCCCCATTAATCCCTGCTGCAGGGCTGCCAGTCACTGCCCCGGGAGCCCCTCCAATTCCTTTCCCAAGCAGCTGCACCGCTGGCTCAGGAAGCCCTCTCTTCCAGTCAGCATCGTTCCAGCAGCAAGGCAGCCCCTTGAAAGCACCTGAAATATCTTTGGCCAACGTCCACGTTCCCTTGGAATCCATTAAACCCAGTAAGTACGTCAGCTTTTTCATCCTTCTCTGAAGGTTTTTTTTTTAAGCAAAGCTTTCTGACAAAGAGCATGACGTGAGGAAAAGCTCTGTGTAATAAAATGTCCCGGGCAGCCGGGTTGCCTAACAGAGCTACAAACCAAGCGGTGTTTGCAGCGTAACCCTGCCCGTGCCTCCCCTCTGTGCGCAGGCAGTGCCCTCCCCGTGACAGCCTATGACAAGAACGGCTTCCGCATCCTCCTGCACTTTGCCAGGGAGTGCCCGCCGGGCAGGGCGGATGTGCTGGTCGTCGTGGTGTCCATGCTGAACACGGCGCCGCTGCCCGTGAGGAACATCGTGCTGCAGGCTGCCGTGCCAAAGGTAGGGCCGCGCGGCGCAGGGCAGCCTCGAGCCGCGCGGGCACAAGGGGCTCAGGTGGACAGGGGGACTCAGATGGCACCAGCTCCCTGCTGCTGCCTTTATTAGCTCTGTTCCACCTGTTTCCAAAACACGAAGGTGGTTCTTGGGGGCAGAAAACACTGAAGAGGATAGATCAAGAACTATAGCACTGTTTTTTTTTTTTCTTGCCATCTAAGATGAGTCCTGCTCAGCACAGTGGCAGGTCTGTTACATGGACAGAGACATCCTTGAGATCTGTGGGAACTGGCTTTCAAAAGACATCTTAAATCTGAAAATATATTCCATTCTGCTTCTACCTCTGCCGGCTACGTTTTGATGTCTGGTTCATGTTTTGAATACTATCCTAAACTTGACTATGATTTGCCTGTTAGTGTGGCAGCATCTGCATTAAAACCTCTGCTGCAAGAGCTCTCATACAGGAAGGTGCTGTTGGGATTTACCTGGCCAGTGCCTTCCCTCTGGGCTGATTTGCCAACCTCTGTGTCGTGTTGTGCACATGGGGCTGGCTCTTGTCTCCCTCATCCTCCCACTTGAATTAATTCTCTTCAGCTCAGTCATGGGCTGTTCATCTAGCTGACCTGCACATGCATCTTGCGTTGTCCCCAAGGCAGAAGACAACCCCTGAGGTTCCACCTTCTTTCTCATTTGCAGTCCATGAAAGTGAAGTTACAACCACCCTCTGGCACGGAGCTGTCTCCATTTAACCCCATCCAGCCGCCCGCTGCCATCACCCAAGTGATGCTTCTGGCAAATCCTGCAAAGGTGAGAGGGGGCCTGCCACAAAGCGGGATTTGGTGGTGCTTTCAGTTCAGGGCTAGGGGGATAGCAGGTTCCCCAGGAGGGCTTTTCAGCAAGAAAAGCCATGAGAAGGACTTCTGCATTTCTTCAGGAATCGGGCAGCAGCCTGCATGAGGCTCAGCTTTAAAGAGAGCAGTCAAAGATCAGCCAGGAATTTGTCTTGTTGGTGCCCTTGTGCCCTAGACCTGCCCCCTGCTTAGTGATAATTGAAGTGATATTAAATTAGCTGGTGTTGGAGAGATGCTTCTGCTGTATTGAGGCTGTAGCCTGGTGGACCTGAGGCAAGACCTTCAGGTCGGGTCTTGTTCTTCCCCTTATCCTGTGAAATGTTCTGCGAGGTGCCTGTCCCAGGTGAAACAAGGACACGGTCCAGCCTTTCCTGGCTGCTACTGTGGAAGCACTGGGGCCTTTGGGGAAATCTTGCTGTAATTATTCACTAAAGTAGCCTGTTCCATAAAACTTGAAGTTGTGTGCTGAAGTAATTATCATTTTTAATTGAGTAAACCTAGATGCTGTGTTCTGAGAATTACGACAAAAGGGCCTTAAGGGTGGAAGCTGTGAGATGCAGAGTGCTAAATGTCAGGTGGTCTGTGGAAAAGCTTTCCCGTTCTGAAGCACATGGAGATGCCTCATTGAAGGACTGGTTTAATTCCTCTCTGACTGTTTTCTGGGAACTTTCAAAGCAGGAACTGTTGTATTTTATCTTCCTCCACATGAGGAGGAGGTTGATTTTGAAGAAGACAAGTTATTCCAGCAGCATTAAAGCATGTCCCCAGGCTCACTAGAGAGCAGTAGCGCTGTGGCTGATGACCATGTATGTATGGCAAGCCACTGAGCTGCTCCTGAAGGGCATTTATGCTTTTCTCCCAATGTTTTACTCTAACAGAAATGCTCTTGTGAGTTACAAAGCCAATAGGTAAATAGCTCATCTTTGCCAAGCAGCTGGAAACACCCCTGGACTTACCTTGGCCCCTTTTCCCTCGCTGTGTTCAACAGAACCCATGGTGTCTGTAGAGTTCTTACAGCCAAGTGCTTCGTTTAGGAGCAACCGAGGCCCTTCTCATGTTGCTCTTTTTGTCTTTCCTGCAGGAGAAGGTGAGGCTGAGATACAGACTGACCTTCACGCTGGGAGAGCAGCCCAGCACAGAGGTTGGTGAAGTGGATCAGTTCCCCCCCGTGGAGCAATGGGGGCATCTATGACCCTGGGGCACCGCCAGAGACTCCGTGACAGGACCAGGAAGGGATCCCACAAGACTGGACTGAATGTGACGAGGGGAGGGACACACTTGCTATCCACTGGTGACGTTCAGCTTCGTTTACATGTCCTGACCACTCCGCTTGTAGCTTTAGGCCGGAATGTTTTGCCCCACATTGAAGGGGTCCTGGGACATTTACGTCAAGCACGGACCGAGTGGCACCCAGTAACAGGCAGTGCTGGCTGCTTCTATCTTAGCCTCTAGGTGAATCTGGTTCTACCTTCTACTCTATTAAACTTGAAGTTGTTGCATCCTGAGAGGAGACCTGCCAACAGAAGGGCATTTGTTTGGCTTATTCCTGTACTGCTGTCCAGAGATACCGAGAGGCTGGCGGGGTAGTGATGCCACCAAGAGCTTCCTCAGTGCGGAGCCCTCGCACTTGCTGCCCCGAGGACTTCCACCTCCTCAGTGCCAGCCTGGACCAGTTCAGCATGTCGAGCAATAATGCTGGCTCTGGGAGGGAAGGCTGAGTCTTCACACTGAAATGGTCCTTAGCTCCCTTTCTCTCCTGCCTCCATTTCACTGCCAACACCTGATGCAAGCTGCCCCTAGCTCTGTGTTGTGACACTGCTGTATATTTAGTTGATATATTTATTTTATCTTGCTAGCTGCCTCTCCGGATCCATTTGGGGCAGGCGGTGCCGAGCTCTGTGCAGGTGGCTACGCTGGTTATTTTTCTGCCTTTTGTTGCACTCCGTGGTGCGGATGAGAGAGGAAACGTGGGGCGAGGTTGCGAAGGCAGCGGGGCAGCCGAGCCAGCAGCAGCCTCCGTGGGTGCAGGACGGCGCCCGGCGGGCGGGAGCGTCTCCGGCGCCGCCGCAGCGCACGGTCTCATTGCAGCTGAGCTGGGCTCCGCTCAGAGCAGCGCAGCGAGATGCAGGGTGGAAATCCCAGAGCTCTAGAACGTCCCACTAGGAACAGGCGGCAGTGAAAGGAAAGGCGGCCCCGGCGGGCCGTGGTGGTGCATGCGCTGCGGTTAATGCCCTCTTTTATTTGTTCCCTGTGTTAAGTGGCTAAGTGCAATTGTCTTCACAAGGGGAAAGCTCTTTTGCTGGATAGAGGTGTTCTGTGCTAAAAGGGGGCAGGTGACCTGACCCGCTCGAGCTGACAGTCACCCAGAAACCTGGTTGAAATCACTGAAACTGATTCCGGGAGTCCTCTCCTTCCCCCTTTTTATTTCCAGTCTCAAGCAAAGCCTCCACTAGCTTTGAGACAGACCCTTTTAAATTATTGTTTGTTTGTTTGTTTAGCATTCTCTGTCAGAAGCGCAGGACTGGCTGCTTGGGCACACGCTCTGCTCAGCGCCTGAGGAACAGGAGCAGCCAAAGTGCTGAGAAAATGAGCGGCAGGAGGAGAGCCCCTGCCTGTTGCAAGAGGAAAACTCCAGAGGAGAAAGTGCTGCTGGAGTTCATGGAGGCTGCAAAACCCATTAGGGCAAGTAGAGCTTTGAATATTCTAGCTGGCCGAGGCAGATGTTACAGCTGCTGAATTCTCATCACTGATGAGAATTCAAAGAGGAGAATTCCACTAAAAGTCAAAAACTCAGTGGACTGAAGGCCTAAGGCCCTCATGAGGGACTCGAGGCAGCTGCAGAAACCCTGAGGATGAACCCAAAGCTTGGCTGAAGAGCTTGCTATAAACCCTTGGGCTGAGGCTCCCGGGGATCAGAGCCTCTCGGCTCCCTAGAGCAGGCGGCGGGCAGAAGGCAAGTTAAGCCTTTGGATCCTCAGAGGAAGCAGCCGTTTTAAAGCGATGAAATAGGGTGGGGGACAAGGAGAGAATTGTTTCTGCCTCAGACATGTTCCTGCCAGCACTTTAGACACCGCAGCACAGGGGCATTGCCTACGTCATTTAAACCTGCTCAGGTGCGCAGGGGTGTTGCCTAAATCATTCAAATCCACCCGGGTGCTGCAGTGTGTCCTTAGGAAGCAGGTTTCACTGCTTTAGATGCCTACACGTGAATCTCACTGTGACTTGGAGGGAGTTGGGGAAGCTCGGGCGCTTCTGAAGGATGGCGCCGTTGTCAGTGTTAGTGGCGGCTCGGAGCGGCGCTCGCAGCGCGCGCTGCTGCTGCCGCCTTCGCCGTGAAACCACGAGTGTTACCTGGGAGGTGGAGGTTCCAGCTTCATACCGAACAGCCGTACTGTAAATATGTCTCAAATGCATTTGTTCTGCTGCATGTTAAATAAACTGTTTTCCCTACTCTGCTCTGTGCCTGGCCTTGCTAACGAGTGCTGCTGGTGGAGTCCAAGGCGCTTCCTGAAATCTAAAACTCAACCCGTCATCTCAAGAGCATCCAGACCAACAAGAAGGGCAGAAGCTGCTTTTTTCTAAAACCCCAGTGATTTAAAAGGTAGGTAGAGATTCGGCTCCAGGCACCAGAGGCAACGCGCCTGACAGAGCAAGGTTACGCTGTCAGTGCTAAGGAGGCTGCCTCTGCAGGGGGGAGGCTGGCAGATCAACTTCAAGCCAGCAACCTTAATGGATGGTTTTTAAAAGTTATGTTTATGTAACCTAGTATTTAAAAGTTATGCTCATTATATTTACAGAAGACAAGAACAAATCACTAAGCAATATGCAAAACACGGTATTTATTCTTAGAAAAGATGTCAGGTTTATGTACAGTGAACCACAGAGGAAGAGTAAAATAACATCTTGCTCTCTTCAAGATCCTTCCAAGGTGCCTTCTTTGACGATGACTCGTGCGAGATTTCGTGCAAGAGCAAGCCTCAGCATTTCCACTTTCATAGTCTCAACATCATCATCCTAAAAGTAAGCAGAGTTTGAGGCAGAATATTACACCCAGTAATGGCATGATAAGATCTGTTACTCCCTGGACCTTCCTGAAGAGGGTAAAATGTTTTCTGTGCTTTAGTTTTCACGAGGAAGATGGACCGGGCATTTCTACATTCCATTTCTTGCCGCTGCAGCGGTTTACATGTGCAGCAAATGGCTCCCTGCTTGTTGTGCCTGGAACATTCGATCGCTTGAGCTGTTAGGTGGCAGCACCTCAGCTTTTCAGAGCTCATTTAATTATGCAATTATTTTCCTTGGAAAAGCATCAGGGTACGATGCTAAGCAACAGAAGAGTGAAAAGCAGAAGCAATCCTCTATAGCGCTGCTTTTGTGTGTGCTTAACTACCTTCTGCTGATCCCTCATTTGGAGAACTTTTAAAAATAGCCTCACTACCTCATGCTCTCCTTTTTCTGCCTCGGGCCAGGAATAGAAAGTTCAGGCTGGCTTCCCCTGACCCCAGAGAGCCCCTCTGAGTCACTGTCTAGTTGCCCTTGAATGAGGTAGTACCTGGAGTTTCTGCTTATCCGACTTCCCTGCTGTCAAGTCTTCCAGACATCTCATCAATTCGTAAGTCTGCTCTGCTGAAAATATGATCTGTGGAAATTCAAAGTATTTATGGAAATTATTAAGGACATCACATGGTCTGGGAAGATAACTAGGATTTTGCACATCCCCATCCTGAGGGTAGGATCCTAGGATAACTGAGGTTGTGAAAGGGACCCAGGGAGGTCCAGGCTCCTGTGCAGAGCAGGGTCTGCGATGAGGTCAGGGGAGGTTTCCCTGGGCCTTTTCCAGTCATGTGTTTATCGTTACTGAACTGCCATTTTCTTGGTGGATCTTGAGAAATCAGTGTAGCAGAAGGCAGCACACAAGAGCAGTTTCCAAACTCAGAACAGAAGGAACTGGATCCAGGATGCTTAAATCATGGGCATACACGTATTCTACTGCTATTTTCTGAACGGAGGGCTCTGAATTAACAGCTCATTATCCCACCCTGGACTCTAATGGTTATCTCATAGTGGATGGGGTCCTTTGTGCTACCACGGGGGAGACTTTTGGAGATTTGGACTCTCAGACAGCTCCCCGACCTTGGGAGGTGCAAGCCCTTGGGCTGAAGGGGCCACCACCTTGACAGGGGATGGTGGCGATGGAGGTGCTCACCTCTTTCTGCTCCAGCAGAGGAAGAGCATCTGTCAGCAGGGTCATCCAGAAGGAGCAAGGAGCAATGTGGGCAGTCATCAACATCAGGAGCAGCTTGGCCGCCTCAGAGAACCTCTTCTCGCCGTAGAGCCGGTGGAATTCTCGGTACTTGCCTGTGCACGGGGTGTTGGGGAAGGGTTAGTGTCACATCAGCGTCACAACAGCACGGGCCCAGGTGACAGGGTGCTCTGAGCGCTCTCGTGAAGCCTTGGGTAGAGTTACCCTCAATTGAAATGAACCTTCAAAGCAGCTGGTGAGTGGGAAAGCTGGAACCTTGTGCAGCCGAAGGGTTAAAAGAAGGTTAAAAGACAGGCTGGCCAAAGAGGCAGCAGGAAGGCGGCTGCTGCCGTCCCTGGCGAGCTTCCCTGCTCGAGGCAGCCTGCGAGTGAGCTGAGAGCGTCTCCGGGTTCCCAGCGGGTGCCCAGGGCTGCCGGGATGAGCGGCCTCGGGAGGCTCCTGGTGTCCCCAAAACCGGGGAGGGGAGAGGGGCATGAAAGCCCTTTTTGATACCTCAGGCTTCGGGGTCATCCTGATTGTTTTATGGAAACAGAGATCTTGGTTAATACAGGCAATGGTGCCTTTGCTAGGGATCACTGGGATCAGTATCCAGTACGTGAGAACTGGCTGCGGATGCAAGTGGGTTTTTTCAGTCTTCCAGACAATGTCTGGAACAGATGTCTTCCAGATTTGTCCACTAAGGTTTCAAAGAAAACATCAGTTGGCAGTGATACAGCCCAGGGAAGACCGAGAGAAGCACCCGAATGCCAGGCCCATCCTGCTCAAAGCAGCAGAGCCCAGACCCGTACGGTGAGCGCAGTGGAAATGCAGCCTGGCGAGCAAGCGGTATCCCAGCTCCCGGCCAGTCGTTGGCCTTCCCCTCACCCGCTGTAGCCAGATGGGAGAGGAGGCAGGTCCAAATAATTGTTTAGAGTCAGCACTGAAAATGAGGCAGTTCTCACCAAGAAATGTCAGACGGTCACTAAGTAGCATGGATGGTCCCAAATTATCAATGAGGTCTAAGTCAGAGAAGCATCCCTTTTCACAGTAGTCCTTGAGGAATCTAAGGAAAAAGCAGAACACAATAAAAACGTAAAGGGGAAGGCATCTTTGCAGACCTATTTTGTATTTTCACAAACCTTTCTCAGAAAACTACACTATGGAAGTGAGTTCCACTTTAATCAACCACCTCCGAGGGCTTCAGAAGACATCAGACCATTTCCTGGGAGTGGCGAAGGAGCTGAGGTAACTATTACACTTTACTATTACTATTTTTATTTTACTATTACTATTACGGTAACTATTACGATTTATTGACTACATAGTTTTTGTGGTGGTATTGAGATATTTTCTGTGCAGGAAAAGGTAAAAGGAGCAGCACGGGAGGCTGAAGCTGGGGGCTGCCTCCCACCTCACAGCAAAAGCTCTGTGTGCCTGTTGTGTAAAACAGTTGACGAGCAGCGGGAGGAACAGAGCCCTACAAGCTTTTGCTCTGTCCTGCCAAAGCCTGCACAATGCTGCTGTTTGCAGCATCTGCTTCCCGTGATGGTTTCCTTTCACCTTCATAAAATGGTTCTTATTCCCTCCAAGGGGAAAAAAGAAAACCCCAAAACCCACCAGCAATGGCTCATTAATTTCTTCTCCCCATTGAGGACTGACTATTACCTGGCCTTCTAATCAGACTACAACTTCAAAATTATAGACTAATGCCTGCCTATATCTAATTAGCAAAAAATACGGGATACGGGTTGCTAGAGATTAAAAAAAAAACTAAGGAAGTTTGGCAAAAGCCCCTATCTTTTTATCTAGGTCTAAACATTATCTTCTTCCATTTGCTAACAACCTTCCCATCCCTTCAAGGTCAAATACTGTGACAAGTTTATCCAAAACGAGGGACGCACTCAGTGAAACTTCACTCTGTTACATAGATTTTAATTCTGGTTTAACACTTTTTTTTTGCAGAAATGTTGGCTTAGATGCTGGCTTTAAGACATTAGCTCCCACTGACTTGTTCGGGAGCTGTATGGTGAACTGGACTGGCTAAAAATAATCTACTGAATGAAACATGGAAAGGGATTATCTTTCACCCCTGTTAAGTTTCCTAGTTCGCTGTGCAGCCTGGGATACTGCAGCAAGTGAAGGGGTAGAGCGCAAAGTAAAGCCACTGCCAAAAGAAATGCTTATCTAATAATCCAACCCTCTTAAGCCTTGCTTTGATAGAGTCAAATTGTTTCAGTTCTGCATCTAACAAAGTGAAAAGGGGTAGAAAAATGGTTAAGTTATTGCAGATGAAAGTGCCAAACACTGTTATTGTCCAGTCAAGGAGCACAGGTTTGGGCTGAGAGTTCTAGACCAAACCTAAGGACCCTTTCAGGATGTCCCTTCTCCCCCTTCCCGCTGCAGCAGCGGCAGCAGCTGAGAACTTGCCTCAGACTCACCTGTCTGAGATGAGCGTGGCAAAAGCCGCATCCTTAGCCCTGATGCTCCAGGACAGGGCAGAGCCCAGGCGGTTGTTCCGCAGCGCCTTCATGGCCATGATTTTACAGATGCTACGAACTTGAGCGAAAGGCACAGGAGAAAGAGGAGAAAGAGAATCAGCTTCCATCACTTCAGCTGTATCAGTGTAAAGAAAGAGACTAGATGCAAGAAGCAATCACCCTGTTCGTGCATCTGCCTTTGCTCACAGATCCTCAGCACTTTGAGGGCCTTTTGTTCTGTGTTGAGGGGTATCCGCT